AGGGATACCCTTTGACCAGGTCTATATAGCCAAAGTAAAGTTAACAGTGGAAAATTATTTGATACATTGTTAATTGCCTTCCTACTTTCCAAGCAAGTTAGATTCATTAATAAGATGGGAGTAGTCCCCTGAATTGGATCTTGGTGGTCTTGGCTCTTTCTTTCAAAGGCTGTTGAAGATTTTTGCTTTACCAACTGCCCACCATATTTTGGGGATCAAAAAACATTTCCCTATTACCAAAGAAGTAGGATTTTTAAAATAAAACATGTCTTTGATGTTACACAAATGCACATAAAATTATGAGAAGTCCTTCCAAGCTCAAAATTATCTGGTTTCCATGTAATTATGCTCTTAGTAAGGTTATTTAAACATCCTAAACAGTACTGTTAAGAGGAAGCGTCTCTAAGAATTATTCTTAATTGCATAGCGAGCATTATTCATTGAAAACTGATTTATTGGAAACCTATTAACGTTTAAGGCCTGGGATTAGTTCTGGGAGAGGATACAAATATAAATAAGACACAGTTTCTGCTTTAATCAGGAAATATTTTTAGCTTAACTGATGTAGCAAATGAATCTCAGTAATTTTTCCTTTGAGGAGATTTTTAAATCACTACTGGGACAATATTAGGAACACAATCACACACATGGTCATTCACCACCTAATATGTGCAAAGCACTATGTTGGTTGGGGACTTCAAAGCAGGTTAAGATTTTGTCTTTCCTGTTAAGGGGAGGAAGACAGACTCAATCAGGCTGTAATAAGACTAAGAGCAAAGGCATAGAAAGAGCTGCAGCAACATCGTTCAGAAACTACTCCTGAAGGAAACAGTAAATGTAGGTGTGGCATGTTATGTACTAGATAAAAAATTATATAAGTAATTCATTATTTACTTATTATTTAATGATATAATTAGTGTGGTAAAGCTAGAACATACTTCGGAGATCAATATAAGAGGGTTATAATTCTGGCTTTGGCATACCATATTTAACCTCTGTGAGCTCGGTTCCCAGATCCATAAAATTCTCATGATAACATTACCCTTGGAGGTGTTGTGGGGATTAAATGAAATAGCATATGGAAAGAGCCAAGTATCATGCCTGGCACATAGCAGGCCTTCAATCAATAGAATTATTAAATCTCTGTTTATTGCTCTTTGGAAAAAACCTGTTTCCTGTGAACAGTTACACACACACTTGCCCCTTGATCTATCCACTCTCCATCCCCATTGCTACATCCCTAGTCCAGGCCACCATCATTTCTCAACTGGGGTATTAGGGCAGCCTCCTATAAGAGCCCTTCTACTCTTGCCTCCCTATCATTTACTGTCCATACAACCACCAGAGTGATTTTGTAAAAAATATAATTCAGATCATATAATTTCCTTACTTCAAACACTTGATGGCATCCCTATGATTAAGGGATACAAATCAAACTTCTTACCACAGTCCATAAGCAGAGGCAGAGCTGTACTGATTATCAGAGGGAGAAAACTTGGGGAAAGAATATAAGAAAAATGATTAACCTCTGTATTCACTTGCTCAGATAGCCATAACAAAGTCCCACAGGTTAGGTAGCTTCAACAGTAGCAGATTTATTTTTTCACAATTCTGGAGGCTAGAAGTCCAAGATCAAGATGTCAGCAGGATTGGTTTCTTCTAAGTCCTCTCTCCTTTGCTTGTAGATGGCCGTCTTCTCTCTGTGTCTTCACATGGTCTTCCCTCTGTGTATTTCTGTGTCCTAATCTCCTCTTCTTACAAGCACACAAATCACATTGGATTAGAGCCCATCCCAGAGACTTCATTTTAACTTAATTCCTCTTTTGAAGACAGTAACTCTAAATATGGTCACATTCTGAGGTACTGGGGTTTAGGACTTCAACATATGAGTTTGGGAGGAGTGTGATTCAGCCCATAACAACCTCTTTATGTGTTGCCTCATCTGTCACTAGGATTTCTGCAAGTTCTTTTCCGCATAGATTTAACAACTGTCACCATAACATATATTAAAAACACGTTGCTTAAAAGATGCCACTTTCAGAATATGGTCTCAGGGGTAGGGTTCTGTCCACCAACTCTGGTTTTCATTCTGTCTATGTGGCTTTCATTTCTTATCATTCTCTTCCTCACTTGCTTTGCTCCAGCCCCACTGGCCTCTTCTCTAAAACACACTAAATCTTTCCTGCTTCTGAGCTTTTCCCCTGAAGTTCTCTATGCCTGGAATGCAATTCTCTCAGCTCTTGCCATGGCTCATGCTCATCTTCCAGGTCTCAGTTTAAAAGTCACTGATTCAAAGAGTGGCTAAAGAATCTAGAGTGGCTTTCCTGGTCTCTCACTCAATTACCAGCCTGTTTTGTTCCTCTTATGAATGACGGCATTCTTCCATTTAATTTATTTCTTTATTATTTATACTCTGACTCCTCCAATAGCATGTTAACTCTCCGAGGCAGGGAACTCATGAGTCTTGTTTACCACTGTAGCACCAGGGCCTAGCATGGATCCTGGTATACAGCAGGCGCTCATACAATAAACGTTTACTGAATAGTGTCCAAATGAAATCCCTTTCCCAATCATATGATTTTAGGATCTCACACAATTTCAAAGATCCGTATGATCATATAAAGCAAATACTGAATAATACCACAAACAAATACTGAGATTGTAATTCTAAACAAAACATTTTTCAAGAATTATTGAAAAAGTAATATGCTATGTAACAATTTGAAAATATCCATTAGTATCACTGAATCGTTATAACTACAAGAATTAGCATAAACTCACACACCTTAAAATAAATTTATAAGGAAAAATGTCATTGGCCTAATTCCTCCCTCCCCTACACTTCTCCCACTCCCATAGATCACCTATGGTATTAATATTTCACAGGGCATAGTTTGGTAAATACTATTCTGGAAAACAGATGAACACTGTCTACAAACTAGAGTAAATCAAACAGCATCACCTAGAAACTTGTTAGAAATTCAAATGGTCAGGCCCCACTTTAGATCCATTTAATCAGCAAGTCTGGGGATGGGGTCCATCAATCTCTGCTTTAACAAACCTTCCGGGTGATTCTGATCCAGTTCAAGTTTGAGAACCACTGCCATAAATTGATCTTCAAAATAACTTTCGATTTCTCAAGAATCTTGTCAAACAGTCCAGTTGTCAGGACATACTCAACCTTAATTGTTCTAAGTAACTTGCCTCTCTTTGCCCTGACTTGCAGTGACAGTGCTGCAATACTTCGGCCATTGTTCTTAAGAAACTAGCAGTGTGATTTCTCCCATTCTTGAACCACTTTGAATGAAATCTCCATTTTCTAAGGTTCAGCACACATTACCTGCTTCGTAGATTACCTAACTATTCCTGCAATAATTTGGCTTTAATAAGCTTATTACTACCATATTTTTATTGTTGTTTCCAATTTCTCATTCAAATAAAAATGTAATTAACTTCTCACACTTAATTTCTCTGTTTTCCAAAGGTGTTATTTTTTAAAAATAAAAACTCATGACAGATTAGCTTGATCTATACTTTTTCTCACTATACTTCCAAAGAATATATTTTTCTTAGTATACTTATTCAATAAAGAATTTTCTCACTCTCCCTCAAACTATTTTTCTTTCTGTGGCTTCAGTCTTCATCCTCTGGAGGCAGAAATATTCTGATTCATTTTTATGAGAATAACTTTAGACCTAGGGCATTAAGCTATACCAACTGCTCTTTGTGTTTTTTGGCGTAAGTCCAATTGTCCAACCAGTATCCAAGGGGAAGTCCATTTTGATAGCAGATGTTATTCTTCCCAGTGGGGAGTATTTAGCCCCTGGCCATACAGTGTTATAAACCATCATTTAAGGAAATGATGTTCAAGAGGGCAACAGTTTTTTATTTTTAATAGTAACAAAAAGCTGTATTATATGTAATAATAACTATTATCATTATTGAGAGCATTATGTTCTAGAAACTGGGACGAGTGATTTACATATATTGTTTCAGTTAATACTCTTTAAAACCTTTACCTATGAAGATACAGGACTTGACAAAGATCATACAATCAAAAAGTGTTAGAGCCAAATTTGAACTCAAGAATTCCAGATTTTAAGCATCATGCTAAAGCCAGATTGTGGCAATTTTCCTTTGTCTAAAATCTGTGTCAGCCCCATTGTCATGATGCTCTCACCTTTCTCTTCTGCCAAACACGCCCATATATTTGTTCCTGAACCAGTCTTATTTAGGCCTAAGAAAGAATCTCTGTAGTGGCCATTATTGGAAGCAAAGAGAAACTAATACTTAGTAAGTACTTTCATGAGAGAGTCACTGTGTTCAAGGTCTCATATGAGCAATTTCATTTGATCCCTATCAGCAATCTTGCTTGAAAGTATGGTTGCTGCTATCAAGAAGTTAAGTAACTTGCCCAAGATCACACAGCTAGTAGGTGGCAAAGCATGAATAGGTCTGACTTGTAGGAGAGCTTGACTTTGATCCCAATTACCAGTGGATGGTCTACCTATTGTTAAAGGTACATGAATCATTTTTGTGCTTAAGTTGTTTACCAGTATCCTCAACTCTCCAAAGATGCATTTGTGCAGCCATTATGGTTTTTCTCCTCCTTACTCTTGTGGCTAAGTTCCCTCTTTTTAACAGCTCACTTCTTTACTAAAAACCAATCAGATGATGGACTATAAAAGGTTACAAAGGCTGAAAGCTTTTGTTCCCTGCATTGCCTGTCATAAGAGTGCCTGGGGGTGATGTATCTTTGAAGAAACAAGGTTCCCAGTAAGTAATTGGGGTTTCTTTCTGCCTGTAAGTAAACACTGCTTTCTGGTTTTGTTGTTCTTTTGTCTGCATTTTTTTGTAGAGATGCATTATCTCACTGAAAATTTAAGACGCTTGTAAAAACATGATATATCATACCTGTATTTACACTTTAATTATTGAACCCACCTTGCCTGTAAAATCAGTAATTATTTTTTCACACTTATTTGCTTCATACCTACTAGGTCCTGTTACTGAAGTAAAAACTGACATATATGTCACAAGCTTTGGACCAGTTTCCGATGTTGAAATGGTAGGTATTTGGGAAATTTAATGTACCTTTTGAGGTTTTGAAGAAAACATGCAGAGGGAAATTAATATTTATTTTGTTGTCAATCACACAAAGCTAGAAAGTTGAAGAATAACCTAATTAGACTCAAAAATTTATAAGGAGTAAGACATTGAATTTGCCTTTCAGCTCTAATATCTGAGTATTTTTTGGTTTGGAGTTATTCTCAACAAAGAAAGGAGCTTTTGTATCACTAGTCCCCATGGCACAACCTTGTATGCAGTATTATTTTTTCCTTAGAAAAGTATTGAAGAGGAGAAAATCAGAGAGTTTAATTAGTTTTGGTATGAAACTATATTGTAGTCCCAATTGCATTTAGAATTCCATATTGGCCCAACTGCTCACTCCCCCTACAACCTGCCCCTTCTCTCCCTCCCTCTCTCTCATCCTTGAAGAGCTTAGAACACTGAGCACTGGTCAGGATGAATTCATCCCTTCCATGGTGCTCTCTAATATTAAATATTTTTAGTTTACAGGTCAAAGAACGTACTTTACTTTTTTCCTTGACCCTAGGATCCTAGGCTAATTTTAATAAATTTTGTGAACATAAAATTTCTCTTTTACATATTTTACTTTCTCTTAAAGAGATGCCTACAATTTTATGATTAATTATGCAATGATATTTGTTACACATGAACTAATTTTGCTACTTGGGCTAAAATAAAGTACAACTGTAATTACCTGGTGCTGGCAGTTGTATTAAATTATATTAATTATTCTTGAATGATTATACATATGGTAATTTATCTAACAAATGTAGGAGATTAAGGTATCAGGATGGACATAACACACTTTAATTGTTGAGAATCTTTTTGCTTCATTGATTTAAGAAAATTTCTCCTGCTATGAATTTCATTTTTATTCAGATAGTCTTTTTTATGAATGGGAAAGAGGCTAGAATTTAATCTATTTTTTCTGCATACTTATGTATAGGCATCTGTGGTTTGAATATGTCACAAACTAATTTCCCTAGGAATACACAATGGATGTGTTCTTCAGACAGACATGGATTGACAAAAGACTAAAATATGATGGCCCTATTGAAATTTTGAGATTGAACAATATGATGGTAACAAAAGTATGGACCCCTGATACTTTCTTCAGGAATGGAAAGAAATCTGTCTCCCATAATATGACAGCTCCAAATAAGCTTTTTAGAATTATGAGAAATGGCACTATCTTATACACGATGAGGTAGTCACTTTTTTCTTTTTCCTTCTTCCCTTTATCCTATTTTCCTTTCTTTGTTCTTTCCTTCCTTCCTTCCCTTTCTTCTTCCTCCCTTCCTTCCTTCCTTCTCTCCTTCCCTCTCATCTTAGAGATCTATAAAATTATTTTTTAAGAAAGAGTTGATTTTATTTAATTGCATTTTTCCATCATAGACTCACCATAAGTGCAGAGTGTCCCATGAGATTGGTGGATTTCCCCATGGATGGTCATGCATGCCCTCTGAAATTTGGGAGTTGTAAGTTACAATAAAAATGCTGTTAGAGTTTGTAATTATATCATGCAAGCTTATATTCATATATGTGTGTGATTTTCTATAATTCAACATTTAAATCATTGTCCATGACAACAACTGTCCAAGGTTTAATTTTTAGGAGATTGTTTATTAACTAACACATTTAAATAAAGAAGTAAAAACAATCTCTTTTCCCCCAAAAAACAAAAAGCTATTTCTACAGATAGCCTAGGTAGACTGAATCATAATAAGTAGGTTGGTGGTAAATGATGAAATTTAGTCACCTCTGAACTCCAGGTGTTGGTGGTGTAACATAGAAAGTTTAAATGCTTTTTTTGTTTTTGTAATTTAACAGTTTCTGTTACAAGCAGAAAAATTTATGGCAGACTTGAAAAAAGGCCAAAGAAGGTTCAGGGCTTCCTGACATGACATGTGTTAAAATAACATAAGCAGCATTGTTAGTCTAAAAGTGGCTGAAGTATGACAAAACTATAGTAGGAGGTGTGATCTGACATGTAGACAGGGCCAGATAGTATAGTGCCTTATAGACCACATGAAGGAGTTTGAATTCTATTCTAAATGCTATAGGGAGACTTTGGAAGGTTTTGCCAGGAGGCGTGGCATTCTTTGACATTTCACCATTTCACTTCAGCTTTTCTATGGAGAATGGATTGTACAGAGGCTAGAGTAGAAGCAGAGAAGGGTTAGAGGCTATTGTTTTAGTACTATCAAGGATGGTGATGGCTTAGACTAGGCTGATCCTAGAGGAGAAGGTGTGAGATAGATGGATTTGGGATATTTTGTGGAGGTGAAGGCAAGAGGATGAAATGAGTGGGTAAGAAAGAATATGGGATTCCTTTCCCCCAAGCTCCCTTCTCTGAGATGGCAGCAAAATGTGATTGCCTCTTCTAATGCCTGACTCAAATATTTGATTCAATCAGAATCTACCAAAAATAGATGCTGGCTTTTACTATTGCTTCAGATTCTTAGTCGCATTGATTGTGAAACTGTTGCCTGCTGTTATCGTTGCTCATTTCTTAACTTAATGAGAATCGGCAGTCACGATTCTTTTTATAACCTCTAGTAATCACAATATTCAGTGGGCTAACTTGAATCTAGAGAGAGTCATTTGCTCCCTGACCAGTGACTTAATGAGAGAAGATAAAAACAGAAAAATACATAGACAGAAAGGGTGATCTTACCAGGACGACAATTTAAGTCCATTTGTGCTGTAATAATTTAAATCTCACCCAAGATAGTTCTAACCTAGGGGAAGTCCTTTGCCACCCATCCCTCTCTAGTTCTCATAGGAAGAACTGAGAGTGACTTGCACATGGTTGGTGCTCAATCAGGGTTTGTATGAAATAAAGAAATCTCTCTTTGGAAGCTGATGTTTTTGGGTGGGGAATTAAAGAGAGGTACATCATTCTTAGCAAATAAGGACCCTTAATCACCCTAGAAAGAGAAAAATGCCATTTAACTATGTTTACAATTCACAGGAATGAGAAAAACCAGGAAAGAAAAAGATCATTCTAGCAAGGTAGGGTAGCCAAAAGAAGGATACCTAATTTAAAATTTCATGGACAGGAACATAGTATTCGGAAACTTTAAATGTATGATTAAGCATCAGTAAACTTCAGGAAATAAGCGTTGACACATAACTGTCTACAGCTAAATGACAAAACACAAGCCTCTTTGTTTGTTTTGCAAAGTCATTTGTAAAGATAGCCTTTCTAGGTGTCAACTCCTTTGGTAGAATTAAACAATTCCGCCAAGGACCTACTGTGCTCTGGCCATTTTAGGAAGGTAGGCCGAGGGTAGCACACAATTCATCTCGGTTCTTTTGAACTTACTTGTGTGCAAGCCAAGCTATCTGTTCTGGGTAGACTAGTAAGCAAACAGCTGGTCTCCATTTGCATTGAACACCAAATAGTAGATAATGGGCTTAAATTGCCGCAGGGAGGGATTTGTTGAAGATGGAAGGGAAAATGTCCTGATTGTAAGAGTTTAAAGGTAGTGGAACTGGTTGTGTAATTATATTCCCTGGAGAGCTTTACAAACAGCATAGCCAGTTTTCACTGCAGAATGGTTCCCAAACAGCATGGGTATTGCCCAGAGGCAGAGTCTGGAATAGGTGACCCCTGGAGAGTTCTCCCAACAGTAGGATTTGTTTTTGTTGTTGTTGTTGTATTATTATAGGCAGCATCTGGTATGTTTCTAATTGGCAGAGCTGCATTAGTATGGCAGAAGTCAGTATTGGTCAAGCCCTGGAAGTGAGTTAGAATGGAAAGAAGCAGCAGTTTGACATCACTTTTTTTGGAGGTTTATTATTTCTGCTTTTCAACTGCTTATTCTATTAGTATGGAAACATATCCAAGTGCATTGATGCATATAAAGCATTGTAGTCGTTTTAGTTGCCTTGGTTTTAGTCTCTCCTCCTCCAATCCTTTGGCGTAAAAAAGAGAAATATGCCCCGTTGCAAGGCTGCTTATTTAATCTCTACGGTTTTCTAAATCTTAAACATGTTTGAATAAATCATAATGATTATTGTTTTCATTTACTCCATCTTTCTTGAACATGTGTAATATTCTTAATTGTTGACCATCAATGCTGATGAAAAAGGAGCACTGACTCTAACCACATTCTGTGCACTCATTCAGATGCATATCCGAAGAGTGAGATGATTTATACCTGGACGAAAGGTCCTGAGAAATCAGTAGAAGTTCCAAAGGAGTCTTCCAGCTTAGTTCAATATGATTTGATTGGACAAACCGTATCAAGTGAAACTATCAAATCCATTACGGGTGAGATGTTTAACAGTTAAAGTCAGCATGCTACTTGGCGTTAGCAATGGAGTTTGGTCCTAGCTTTTTCATTGAAATATCTTTTGTTCTCAGAGACAACAATAAGTTTTCAGAAATAGACTTCATGTGTAAATTATAGTTCAGAATTTCTTTATTTTTATGTATAATCTTATTTTAGTTTAAAATAAATTCTAAGTTGGTGAGACATGAGAAGTGAATTGGTTTTCTTATTCAGAAACAAAAGTCAGTAATCAAATATATTAAAACTATTTTCAACAGATTTCTGAGGCAGGAAGTCTGACCATTGATTTTTGAACACTGGATTTTCCTTTTTTTTTTTTGGTGCTTTCCCAAAATCTTTTTTATCTTGCCCAATTTTTGTGGTGCTACCCTCCCCCTCTTTTCAAAAGTAAAAGCAAAATATAAAGCTTAATTACAAAATACATTAAAAGTATACATTAAAGCTATCACACAAGTAGGTGGATAATGATGATTGACGATTCTTGGTCTGTATTTGCTTTTGGAATGTGAATGGAAAAAATCATAGGATTTAGTTTTTCTCGTAATTAATGGGAAAAATTGGCTAATTATTGGTTGTTCTAAAAGTATTACTTACACATATATATCACCAGGAAAAAATATTTTTTGAAAACATTCATTTTCTAGCCTGCAAGTGGGATTAAAAACACATCTTGGGAGGATTTGAGGCTTCTGAATCTTGGACTTCACAGTCTGAGAATAAGGCTACTGCTTCCTAAGTAACTTTCTTAATATGTTACTTTCAGATGTAACGTTAAAAATATTTATTAACAGGTACCAGAAATTTTATGGTATGTTTACTTATTAGCTTTTTAGGTTTTTGTCTAAATGCCCATAACACATGCTTGAATGCAGGGATGTTATATATGGCTCTACGTTATGTGTGTGTCTTCATATTTGTCTTCACATATGTAACATTTAGAAATACAGCTCTTTCCTAAAGCTAAGACAGTAAGGCAGCCTCTCCCTGAGCATATGTGCATATATAATGTATATCTGTATATTTCAATTCTTTCTAAAATTAAGCTTTATATTTTCATATGTGTATGTGTACGTGTGTTTATGTGTGTATTTCCATTTTTTCCTAGTGATTTTCCATAAAAGTTAGGTCTAAATTCTGCTCTTGAAAAACGCTGAGAATGAAGGCTAATTACTTTAGCAGTATTAGACCTTTAAAATAGAAAGTACTGCAAGAATTTTTAAAAGTTATAGCTCAATTTATTAAATTGCTTAATCATTACGTAGAACCAAAGTGTTTTTTTGTGTAATGATGTTCAATATCATTTCCCCCCTACTTAGGAACTACATATTTCTCAATGTTTGTGTTGTTATGCACAACAGATAATTTCTTTGCCTAGAACACTGGTTTGTTAGCCTGAAATATGATTATGAAGCCGTTGAATAATTGCTTGCAGAACCAATAACAGGTTTTCCTCACGTTTTATTTGCAGGTGAATATATTGTTATGACGGTTTACTTTCACCTCAGACGGAAGATGGGTTATTTTATGATTCAGACGTACATTCCATGCATTATGACAGTGATTCTTTCTCAAGTTTCATTCTGGATAAATAAGGAATCAGTTCCAGCTAGGACTGTATTTGGTAATTGTAATTCATTTCTTGGGTATTTTTGTCCACATTACCTTTTGATCATGATTCATGGGAACAGCCCTTAGATATCATTTCTAAGAAAATATTAAACAGTAATATATCAGGCTGTACTGAGTAAAGAATCATATAAGCTTTCATTTTTATCTAGCCAATACAAAGTGACAAAGCTTGAGAGGATATGGGCAACCCATCCTTTCCTTAGGGCCCCATCAGATTTCCCTTATTGAGACCAGGCAGGTGTGGAGCAAGTGTGAATCTGGATATAATTTCACCTTTGGTAATATTCTTGGGCTACTAGCTTAATGCTGTGTAATTGAATTAAAATCATATCAAGATGTTAAAATGAAATGCACTGGAGACTTAAAATAAAACAAATAAAAGTCATGGCTGAATGAATATGAAAGCCTTAGAATAATTTGCCTTTTAATGAAGAAGAACAAAATGCAAATAGGTTAAATACACTGAATTGGAAGATAGTCTATGCTTAGTTTATTAGCTCACTGTTATATTCTATCTATATCTTTTTTTTCTGAACATATTTTATTCTTTTTTTTGGTAGGACTCCCTGTATATCGTATTCTAAACTATATGAAGTCCAGAACACTCTTTAAAACTCTTTAAAAGTCTTTCAATTTTTGTAGCTGTTAATAAGTCTTTTACATATCAGTCATCCTTTTAAATAATAAAATTAGTTATAATGATATTTATTTAATTTAATATATTTCTCTATTCTTTTTCTACTGATTGTGAGCAGCAAGAGCATTCAGTAGTGGGATAAGAGTGAAAATTATCAGAATTGCTCTGAAATGGAGGTATAGTCCTCACAAGAGATGCCAGTCTCCCTCTTCTTTTTCTATGTGGTGGGATCAAAGCCATGGTATAATATCCTTGTCACTCAGTGGCTGAAGGGATGCTGGTGAGAAGGAGGTGGGAGAGTGGGAACTTCTCATCCCACCTTCTCATCCATTTAGAGAACTGCTGATAAGGGAATCTTAGTGTTTTCAGTGGACCTGAATGTGGGGATATTTTCCATAGATCCCCTCCCCCACCCCACCCCGTTAATCTTAGGTTCATTCAAGAAGGCATGGGAATCCTACTGGGGAAACTCTTATAGAAGGGTCAATGCTGGGGGCAGGGTGTAACCTCAGAAAGGTAGTGAGCAGGTATAATGGTGCTACCTACTTCAGAGTTGTGAGGGTTCAATTAAAGAATGACTGCACATTACGAGTGTTGCATAAATTTTAGCTATTAAAAATAGGTGTGAAAATGAAGGAGAGAAAACAACAAATCTAAGTTTGGACTCCAATAAGTCAAGGTTTAAAACCCAAATCTGCCGCTTATTTTCTCCATCCATAAAATTGTGATAACACATCTCTCCCTCTTAGACTAGTTAGGATTTAGAGTTATGTGCAGTACTCATTACAGAGTAAATGGAGCACTTAGTACGTAAATGGAGTTACTCTCTCCCATATACTCTAAATTGTCGGGGAGATTCATTTTGTTCTGACTTGGTTTCCCAGATTTTTAATTGTTTTTAAAAGAAAAAATATATCTTCCTATTATGGAACACCAGACACTGTGCTAAATTATTGATGCTCATTATCTCATTTAGTGCTCACACTAACCTTGCTCACATTTAGTGTTCACACATCATTTGCTCATTTAGTGCTCACACTAACTTCATAAGTTCAGGGGCAGCCTGACTGGGCAGGAACTATCTGCTGAGGCTGAGCACCAGATCAAAGTCCCTTAACTTTTCCCAGTATAAGTAATATTAATATTTCAGGAACTATCATCATTGAAAATAAAAGTAGTCACTTGTACACATATTGTCATATTTTTTTCTATGGTCCTAAAGAATCTAGAACAGAAAATACTGACCCACCAATGGTGCCTTTAATGAAGAGGTGATAGTGTCATAGTGCAGACTCTGGAATGAGTCAGCCTAGGTTGTAACCCCAAGGTCTACACTTATTAGCTGTGAAGCCTCAATGAGTTACTTCTGCCTGTTTCCTCAGGTGTTACAATAGGATGAACGGTTGTACCTGCCTCATAGGGTTGCTGTGAGGATTAAATGAGTTAATTTAGATAAACTACTTGGAACAATGCCTACCACACAGTAAATACTATTTAAGTGTCATTTATTATTGTGACAGTCCATGCTGCCGTCTACCTCATTTGAGAATTACTACTTGGTACTGTAATGTGAAGTCCTCTGTATTTTATAGTTATTGTTATTGGTTGATAAACGTTGAATGCTTTCTTGGTTGATTACAAACTGAGAGCCACAGTTCTGTTTCTCTCATCCCCAAATAATAGAAATTTCCAGTGGTCTGGGGAGGGATAGCATTACAGCTGTACTCAACTAACATTTCCTATCCAAATAAGACACTGAAAGGAAATTAGCATGTAGTAAGGATACTGGTAATACTACTACTAATGATGATAAGATTTGCCATATACTGATAGGGGTCATCTTATTTAATCTGCACAATAACTCAGCATGGTAGGCATTATTAATTTTTTATGGATAAAGAATAGAATCAAAGAGATTAAGAAACTTGTATAAAGTCAACTCTTTAAGTGATGGACCCAAGACAATTTCTGTCTAACTTTGGGAACTCTGCCATTTTTATTCTGCCATTTGTCTTCAAAGAGGGCATGAGGATGTGCGGGCTTGTGGAGAATTCCAGAGCTGCTGAGTGAGATTGTATAGATGTGTGTTGAAGATACGTTGTGGGTAGCTTTTTCCATTTGCCTCTGTCTTGCGCTAATGTGCCAAGATGTTGGTTTTGATTGACCAGGGAAATTATGCCTAGTAGTTAAGTCTTCAAAGACCTAAGATGTGGCAGAATGGTAGTTATTAAACTGTTCATTGAGGCTCTAGGATGGTATTTTCCTGAGGAAGTTAAGTTTTAAGCATTTGGGGGGCATTAGAAATCTATTTCATATGAGATTTACGTAAAAAGTTAATTGTGGTCTAGTATTTATCTTCCCTAATTCTCATTTCCCTCTTCACTCAAGGAGAGAATTTGCGGGGTCAGAGATGTTATTAGAGATCATGCAAAAATAAAACCAAAAAAAAATCAATGTAAATATGAGAAGTAGAGTGTGCTAAATTCTCTCCAAAGGCCTTCTGTCTCCAAAGTTGTATGCCTTTAAGTTTTCTAATTATTCCAGTATAGTAAAACATTAAACCTGAGTAAATGCCAGCTGGCATATCTAAATCATTACTAGTTCATTTTCTAGGAGTGGCCAGCCAAAAATTCACTCTTGTGTACAGTCTTAGCCTACTCTTACACATCCTCTCCCAGCTCCTGGGCCAGCCAATATGGTGCATGTTCAGCATTCTAAAAACAGGGATTGGCATCAATACTTGAATGTGTCAAAAAAAATTCCCTGTTTATTGAAATGTTTTCAGGGTAGATTCCAGCTAAGCCATTTACGACAGATGCTGCTGTCTTCCTAGATGCAGAGGAAGCATGGCTTCTTATCTGAAGGGTTGGCTTCTGTCTGCTATTCTGTTGCTATTTATTTAACTAAATGCTCCACCTAAAAATAGATATGATAAGCACATCCCTGTCACGCTAGTGCTTTCTTTAAATTTGAACTCCAGGCAGAGAGAATTTTTTAATGTCTAAAGGGATGGCAACTTCAAACACTTAGCCAATTGTTCATGCCAGTTACATTCCTAATTTTGCCAACAGTCATCAAATAAGAACCATAATATCGGAAGGGCTAGTCTACAAACTTTAAAATCAAGTTGACTCAAAACAATGAAAGAGAAATGGAAAGTGGCCACATATCCAGACTTTTTTGTGGTGATGTCCATAGTGTCATTTAATGTCTTCCTGAACCTGGTGGTCTACCCTCTTTAACAGTCAGATATTAATTTTTGGATCTGTGGCTCAGTAATTGCATTACTACACTGTTTACTTGACATCAATAAGGGAATTTCTTTGTATGACAGCAGGAGAAAAGGAAGACTACTACTTCTGGTCCTCAGGGGAAATTGTTCTGTTACAAAAAAAAAAAAATATTCAAAGCAACATGGAGAATCCAAAATTGCTTATATTTGAGTTTGAGTTTTCTGTCTGGTTATTACATCATGGTCTCTGTAGAATTTTCTGAATTCTTCTAAGAGTAATATTCTTATTTAGACTGCAATGTTCATATTTTATTTCCAAGTGTTTTCAGACCAATTTCTATGATATTATAGGAAATATACCTGAAAAACTTGTAGAACATTTTTGAATTCTTAATACGCCACTAAACTTAAATTGTTATGAATAAAAAGAAAAGTTTTGATTTCTCTTTAAACTTTGTAGCTAAAATTTTTTACAGTTAATTTAAGGTTTATTCCTACATCTCACAGCCAATGTTGGAATGGTGCCATATTTCTGAGATTCAAATTGGAGGCCTAAAAATTCTAAGGTCTCTTTATGAAACAAAGTGCAAGAAAATCACAATACTTATTGCATTTTCATAGATATTTAGGTATCTATGTATTTGACTGAATAAATACATTTTAAAACCTATTTTAGACTAAAAATGCCAAAAATATCACAAAGTTTTTTTTAAAAAGGGAATATAACCAAATCCTCAATTTTCTTACTCTGGATAGTTTATGGAATGTTTTTAAAAGATCTGTAACTCATATGCTGCACAGTTGCTCTAATTTTTCATGTTCTAAACATTGACAATTCAGAAGGCACTGGAGAGAAAATGGGTTGATGAGGAGCTGAAAAAATGAGTTTTTATTTACTGTGCATTTATCATGTGCCTGACACTATGTGAAATATTACAGTAAATCCCGAAGTAATGTTAGACTCTTCTGCCCTCAAGGAGGTTATGCTCAATCAAGTTGTGGAAACAAGGCTTACATACATGGAACAATTAGGGAACAATACAAGGCAGAATATAATTAAATGCTGAGTTGAGGAGACAATATTTTTTCTCCCTAAATCAAAATGTTATTATTGCTTTATTGTGGCATAGGGCTCACTATCTCTTCAGTTGAACATCTATTATCTGACTTTCAGCCAGGGATTGGCATGGATTGGAATATATGGTTTAGATGCCTTCATCATCGTCATCATCATTATCATCATCGTCATCATCATCATCATCATCCCCAAACACATGGGTGTGTCAATGCAGGAGCTGTCCTAGGCATTACATAGAAGGAGTTTAAATGGATATAGTAAATTCCCACAGAAATTTCCAAGATTAACTAGATAAGGTGGGTTAGATATACAGATAGGCAAAGATGCAGAAAGGGACAACCGTACAAATATTAGCATCCTTAAATAATGCATTTCTCTATAGCTTCCAGTGGTAAGTGGAACTTGTCAATTGAGAATGGGGACTAACCTTTTTCCAGGTTGAGGAGAAGGCGTTCCTGGAAATGATTTGCTTCAGAGGCCTATTGATGGAAGAGAAGTACCTCTATTCTTGTTGCAAACATTTTCCTGCTGACCATAAACTGATGAGTGGTAGATGTCCAATATTTTTAAAGCCAAATTGTTCTAGAAAACTATTTTTCCAAGAATATACCTTTATTATTTTATATAAATTAAGCTCTTTCAAAATGAGTAAATTTATTATTTTAATTCAATAGGTAATATTCAGTTAAAAATTGTAAGTATCTATAATATGTGCTTTTTCTGGTAGCGATTCTCCTAGCAGTGGGCCATGGCCTACCTCAGAAATTCTGATGCTCCAATTTTCAATGCTACCAACTTCCCACTCTGGGTTGAGGATTAGTGCTTTAATGAGTCACATTTCCTGTTAGTTATGTGTTGAGTTTCTCGGATATGTTGGCTCAGATATTAATATCAACCCAATATATGCTAGGTGCCTTACATACTTTTAATCTTTACAGCAAACCCAATAGGTAGATATCAAATGAATCCCAGTGAGTTTTCCTCACTAAGCCCAAATCACATTGAGCCAATGATTCAAAGAACCTGGATTTGAACCATATCTATCTCTCACTCCCAAGCCTGTGCTAATTTCACTGAACCACTAGGATTCAAATCTTCCATCACAGATGGTTTGATCTGAGTTACTGTAAACTTTGTTACCCCCACCTCACCAAATCCCTAGGTCTTTATGTTTGTTTGTGTTTTGCATAGAAGTAAAGGTAAAGTATTTTGTCTCTTTTGCTTTGAAGGAATAACCACAGTCCTCACCATGACCACACTGAGCATCAGTGCACGGCATTCTTTGCCTAAAGTGTCCTATGCTACTGCCATGGATTGGTTCATAGCTGTCTGCTTTGCTTTTGTATTTTCGGCCCTCATTGAGTTTGCGGCTGTCAACTATTTTACCAATGTTCAAATGGAAAAAGCCAAAAAGAAGACATCAAAAGCCCTCCAGGAAATTCCGGCTGCTCCAGTGCTGAAAGAAAAGCATCCTGAAGCACATCTGCAGGTATTTGACTTAATCGCCTTCAGTTTACGATTTCAGCTTCTTTCTTGGTCAAAGTCGCATCGCCAGGGGAAAAACTGAGAACTTGAAAAATCCCAGTGACAATTTGTAAGTCATTTAAAAACAGAAAAATATAAAATATAATTATGAATTTATGCTTTAAAATGGTGATTACTGGCTTGAAAATTAAACAGCTCTGGATGAGCCAGATGTACACGGAGCTAGTTGGAAAATTTTATTCAGAATTAAAAGTTTTTGACAGAAAGGAGCAAAATCTTATGTATACTATTAAGGGGAAGCTGTGGGTATCTTTGAGTGGGTTGGAAAGGCATTTTGGGAGAGTTCATTGAACAAAGTAACCAGTGATTCTTAACGTGGCCCCACATTAGAGCTACCCCATGAGACTGATTGCAGCCTCTGCCTTGCATTAAAGAAGAAAAGAAAACCAATAAATAAGAGGACTCATAGTTGTAGTTGATGTACATCCAAAATTGAGAATTCTTGTCCTAAGGGACAGATCTAAAAGGATGTGAAAGCCTTATAAGAGCTACTGTAATTAACATTGGGCACGTCTGTGATTTTGCAATTAAAGAAAGTTTTTTTTAAGTGACTTTTTTCTCACCAACTCCAGTTGTACTCCAGTTGAACAAAAACAACAGATCTTCGTGAAAACAGGAAAGCAAACCTTCCTCTTCTTCTCCTTCTTGCCCTCCTCCTCCTCCTCTGATACTCTTCTCACTCTCTCTGCCTCTTGCTTGAATCAGCAGACAAGTGTCTGCGGTCACTTATACACAGTCTTATTGTGGTTGCCACAAATGGTGGCCTAAAACTCCTGTTGTCTGTGTGTCCCCCAATCAAAGTATATATAAATCATCATCTTTATCCTCATGGGTGATAACTCTTTCCCTTACATATTCATTCATGCATTCATTTTTCACTCATTCAACAAATACATATTTTAATGCCAACTATGTGCCAGATTTATGATCTGGGAATCCACAGTGTGCAAAAACCCCCAACAAATATCCTGCCCTGTGGAGTTTACATTTAAGTATGTAAGATGAGGAAAGGGAGACAGATGATTTAAAAAACATAAATAAAAATAAGTATTATTTGCTCTTCCCTTAAAAAAATCATCTTGGATTGATTGATTTATTTATTTACTTTACCGTTTTCTAATTTTTGATTCATAATTTATTTTAGTACCCTCTTTCTACAGGTTAATTTTGTTACTCTTTTTCTAGATACTTGAGCTTAATTCTTACTAATTTATCTTCACTGTTTCTTGTTTAGTAATAAAGTGTCCTTTATTGCAGTGAGATTTCTTTTGCATACAGCTTTGGCCATAATTCATATCTTTTGATATATGAAATTGTAATAATTATTTGCTAAATATTCTGCAATTATGTTGCTGTTTTTCTCTATAGCTAAGAAGTTATCTGGAAGATAATATTAGAATTTCCAAATGGGATTTTGTTTGTTTATTTAGCTCTACTGTTTTAGTTGCATCACGTTGTATTCAGAAATGTTACCTACACAGATTTGAATGTTACTGATATTTTTATTGTGCCCTGAGTTATGCTAAAAGCTTATAAATGTTTCAGAGCAATTTGGAAGGAGTTGATTTTTAGTTATTAAGTTAATTTTACTTAAAACATTATTATTTCACTCTTTTAATGAGTCACTTCTTGTCTTCTTGGTCTTTAGATCACATCAAGAAAGATGTGAAAAATCCTCCCATTAATATTATGAGATTGTGTTAATTTGTTTTTCATTTTAACTATTTTTGTTTTATACAAAATTTGATGCTATGATATTCAACATGTAAAGATTCGTAACTGCTCTTTTTCAATATCAGTCTATGCATTTAACCATAAAATAACCTTTTCTTTTGATTTCGTATAATGCCTTTTCTCTTGAATCTGTTTGGTCTGATTTCAATATTTTTTATATTCTTTCTTAATATTAAATTTTGTAATATATCTTTATTACTAAGTTTTCCTTATTTGTTCTTTTATCATGTACTTTGTATACCATATAACATGTTTTTATGTCGCTAGTGGTTAAGTTTTAAAACAACATATTTCAACTTATTATTTTCTTATAATGTTGAAATTATAAAATATATTGACTCTTTCATGTAGCTATTAACTCCCCCCGACCCCAGGTTTGCTCAAATCCAAAGATTCTGGATTTGGAGACATATTTTATATATATGACTTTTTCTGTTTATAATGAGTTGATGTCATTCTTCTTTTCATTTTTGCAAAGTGATGAGGATCCTTGCACTAGTATTATAATATTATAAATACTTGAAAGTACCATTTAATCAGAATAAAATTATTCTGCAGAATTTCCAAAGGTGGAAAGAGAACCAATAATCATCTATTTGCTCCTTGAAACATATCTCTTGACTATAGCAATTGCCGTCACTGGTAAATGCTTGGTTGAGCACATCCAGTTGGCTAAGTTCACTCTGATTCAGGGACTCCTCTTGGCAGCATGAACCACAGGCTGTGTGCAAATGGCAAAACAAGATCAAGGAGATGAAATTTGTTTGTGAAGGGCATAGAGTCATAGTATTAAAGGCTTAGGAAGGACTTTATAATAAATCTAGTCAAAATATGCATCATATGCTTCATGTCCTCTGCAATGTGTAGCTATGTATGTGTGATAACTTAGATCTCCACAGCAGTTTCCTTGAAGAGATTTGTGTTCTAAAGACAGTGATTAATGAGTTGGCCCATCCTTCCTCCTGACTCCAGATTGCTACCAGAGTGCAGCTGGCTTTGGAGTGTCAGTTGTTGAAGGGCTTCAGTATCAAGTTCAACTTTGAAGGCTGAGAACACATGCAAATTGAGTGAGAAAAAAAGATAAATAAGGAGAAGGAAATCAAGATGAGGAAACAGTGTGTTAAGAGCAAAATTTTAAAACATGTTACTGGAAGGAAATATTCTAAGAATCTTATAAGGTTTGGAGTTTCAGTAGAGATTCTAACCAGACAACTGAATTTTGCTTGTTCTAATGTGTGTTTCTACTTGTATGGCTGTTTATTTATTTGAAAGATGCTGCTTTGTTTAAAATGTGTTTAAAGTCCTCATTTGGAATTGCCTTCAGAGTCTACATGACATTTGATAATTCAATAGTCCTTTGGGTAAGCTCACTAGTGGTTTGATTCATTGTCACCATATGTGACCTATGGACTGTTAATGGCCTGGCAGAGGTTTATGGTGACCATTTCTATTCTTTGGGAATTGGAAAGCTTATGATTTATGGAATATTTATGAAGCCAGGAGAAAAGGCTGATTGGCAGAATCTAAGAGCAGCTATGGGCAGCTTCAGTATGTCTTTGGGCAAGGCAACTGTTTTCTTTCTGCTCAGCATTACCTTGATTCTGTCTCTGACTCTGTCCTTCCAACATTTGAGTTGGGCTCCATTTTTGTGGTTCTATCCTTCCATACCCTTACTACTTCTTAGAGTACCTACTCTCTCACAGATGCAAGTGGTTTGGATTAGTAGGATGATTTGGAAAATAACTATAAAAGAAAAAGGGAATATTTTTTAATAAGATCATATTTTTTTAAAAATCGCTTGAAAATATAGGCTGTAGTCCTTGTTTGGTCAAAATGTATGCATGTTGTATCTTGTGAAAAAAAAAATCTAAGGATGTAATGACTCAAACTCTTAAATTGTGTCAGGTACTATGTGATATGCTTTACATGCATTACTTACTTTCAAGCTCACAATAACTATTTTACAGAGGAAGAAACTGAGGCTTGCAGCTGTTAAGTGATGTATTCAAGATAACACAGCTAGAAAATGGTAAACTCAATATTTAAATTAATTCAGCTATGTCTGAATGCAAAGCTCATTCTCTTAAACTCTATTTTATAGTATTTAATTTATGATGTGTCTATAAAGATAGACATTAAATTGTATATATATTATATGTATAAAATAATCAGCCCAACGCAGAGTCTTTTTGTTCATATTTCTATGAATAAATAACAATAGCAAAATACTCTGCTTTTTATGTGCTAATAAGAACTTCTACACACGTTGTATATATAATTTAATTCTAATAATTTATAAAATATGTCCCATTTTTATCCATGTTTTACCAATGAGGAAATGATAGTTAAGGATCAAGTAATCTGCTGAAGGTCATCTATCTGGTAAGAGGCAGGTCTGGGCCAGCAAACCCGATACTTTTAAGCCTCAAGCCTTAATGACTGATTAGAAATGTTGAGTGAAGGAAACAGAGGATGAGATGGATGGTGGTGACATCATTCACCAGGATAGGGAAGAGCAATGAAGCACATTTAATAAAGAAGCTAATTAGTTCAAATTTAGTTAGGTGGAAATTTCCGTAGCAGGACGTTTTCCCCTATCCCACAATAATGATGACTTTCTTTTTTCAAGCTACAAGTGCATACTTCACGGCCTACCTTTTCTTTCTCATCTACCTAATTCCTTTGTCTGTTTCCATTTCACTGTAACTATTCTTCATGGACTTTTCAATTTTAAAGTGTTCATTGATTCTTACAAGGATATTTGTAAAATTAAACAGATATTGCTCTGCTTAAAGTCTTTAAGAAAAAGATGATACAAAAAAGAATGTATAAATAATTCAAGGTACACCTTGGATTCAATAATTCAAGTGCACTCATGAGAATCTCCCTTTTTACCACCCATTCTTCAAAGTCAAACTCCTAGCCTTATTTTCCATATTTGGCTCATTCTGACTGATCTCAAGGATCTCAAGTATGTGGTCTCAAAGATCCACATCTACAAACTGAGGGCAATAGTAGAACCTAATGGAAAGGCTTATAGCGAGGATTAAAGTACATCATGCATGTGAAATACACATTACAGTGCTTTGTACCCAGTAAATAATAGCGATGATGATTATTATCCTTTATTTCTTTAAGATCTTCAACATTTAAAGTATGCATCACATAATTTATCATTAATAATATCCTGAAGTATTTTGCATAAATTGT